ACTCATATCATTGTGGGAAAATTCTTCTTCTACCAGTCCTTTATCACCTTAAATGAAATTGGGTGAATACTTCTCATATCACTGATTTACTGAAAACAATACTTAATTCGAAAAATAAGAATATTTAGCATGTCGATGATGAAATAAACACTTGACTGTCAGGTTATTGCGCTCAAATTCGCAGCCATAACGACTCAGAATTACCTTGCAAAATGAGTGTAATCCACAATAAGAAGTGTGAAGGCAACGGAAGACAATCGCATTTATTGATACTGGCATACATTTCATTTCGTTTGAGAAGGCGGGTCGAAGGGATTAGTAGAATGGTCCAACCGGATACCGCAAGAGGGTTGCCTTGGACTTTTGTCTGTTGAATTATGCGAAGAAGACCTCAACTTACCATCATACGACCCCGATGACTCCGTGCTGAGCTTTCGTTCGTCATGTGACGGACATCGGCATAGCCAGAAACCAGTATCCACGAAAAATACTAAACCAAAAGAGGTGGCTACTGAGATCCTAGTTACTTCATATACCTCATTTTGCGATCGTAATAAGGAATTCCATGATTTAGTTCGCTGTTTTATGCTTGTTGAGCTTACTTCCATTTCGAGTGAAAGTGTTGGGTGAAGAGATTCGAAGGTCGGTTCTACCAGAAAACGACGGCGGATTCCTCTTGACAGGCTGTCGATTGGCTTTACTGGAAGATTCATGCTGGCGCTGTTTACGAGGTAATCTCCTTCGATTCCGGTGAAAAGGTGCTGAGCTTTCGTCCGTCATATGACGAACATCATCAGAGCAAGGTATCATCGTCACAATAAAATTCAAGCTAACGAGTCAAGAAAAAAGGAAAGATCTATGGAACATTGATATTGGAGAAAGGCCTATTTTGAAGTCAGATGTTCCACAGCCCTATGCTCCAACTAAAGGGCAAAATTACCAAGCTAATGAACATAAAAAACAACTACCTGTACAAGTTTTCCATCTTCATGATTCATCGCCAGCCGGTGGACGTAAGCGTCATCTGCGTAGTCCCAGACAAGTTGCTTACCCAGCTCCAGAGCAAACGTATGTCCTGTCTCCTCGAAGTGGCGCAACGCATGTCCATGGCCGCTTCGACCACAACCTATACGGCCACAGATTAAGCATATCCACAAGTTTTCTTTAAGTTGACAATCAGAGCATTGACTGTCATTGATGATCTCGGGAGACTGAACGTACCGACAGACTGGACAACTAAAATGGGTCAAATTTAGGCATATATATTTTATATATCAAGTACACTCAAAAACAATGATGAAAAATCAAAGCCATTAGTTTATCTATAAAACGATATTAAAAATCATTTTACCTAGCAGGCAATACAAGTGGAAGTAACAAAAAGAATTGAGGGATTTTAGCTAGTTAATTAGATAATACATGATGGAATAGCTGACAAAAGTTTGAAAAAATGCTTTGCTGAATGAAAAACCAACTATTAGTGTACAAGAAGCCCTGTGGAAAGGATTCAAAAACAGTGATGAAAGTGATTATACCTCAATAGACCCACTTTATGGCCCGTACGCTCGAAAGATATTGGAAAAAACGAAGATACCCAAAGTTATAGGAGGGAAACTTGGCTATATGAAGTGAGAGTAAGAGGAGTCATGGAGAAAAGAGGGAACGATACGACAATCGTTGAACAGAAAAGCGGTCCATAGAATTGCTTACACATTTAACTTTAATGAGTTGAAACTCTGCGCTACGGATAATGCCTCTCACTGACGAAGCCGGTGAAATGTCTTGGAATGCACCAGGTCTTCGAACAAATGCTCAAAATTGTTGTTAATACAAGGACAGAAGGCAGATATTTGGATACGCTCCATAAAGTCTCTGTCACCCTGGCTAAGTTGCGATGACTAGGTTAAACTAACTCAAGAATTAACCAATTTGAATTGGTTTAGTGACTAAATTAAAGGTTACTTTACACACAGCTAAGTTGTGTCGAAATAGATCCTTGTTGCTAAGCGCCTAACCAAGATTAAATAATTGAGTTGAATTACAAGGGTATTTTGAAAGTTAATCGTATTATTCGTACGTGAGAACTCAAACTAATTGGAAACCATGCAATTTCATTATACCAGCAAAGCCCATCCGTTTCTCATATCCACAGAATTTTAAACCAAAAGGCTTTGCTTATTTGCTAAAGAAGCCTAAATTAATCGAAGATATGATCCAATATGATGTGGCCTTTTGTGTGATCGTAGTCTCATTTCGTTGTATAGAAGTTGTTTGACCTTGTTTTCGCAAATGGGTCATATTGGTAGAAAGACTTAGAGAAAAGCACCTAATCCGGAGTTCATTGTATGCATGGCAAATTCCAAAGTCGGACCGTGGACGTAGTACATTGCTAGACGTTTCGTCAACATCGTAGTCGGCATCGTCAGTGAGTCTTGTCAGTCTTAGCAATATACTACAACTCGTGAAAGAGACAAGTAAAACCGATCCTTTGACCAAACGTGTGCTAAATAGTTGTGGTATCTGCTTCTGTCATAGGCTATTCACATCTCCTATATCCTTGAATCACGCCTTCACCATCACAATTATTTCCTTGCTTATTTAAATGTAGAATGGTGTGTCCTTTTGAGCGGCTTTCATTAGAACCCTCCACGCTCCACACTGGCGTTCCCACCCCCCTTGACACTTGTGCTGGAAATGTTACGCCGTCCTCCTTCCATAATTCTTATCAAAGTCCGTCTTGCCCCGTAGGACAAGTCTGCTATCTCCCTGGTTCAAGTATTTCACTCGATCCCTGCCACCCCATCTGTGCAACTCGAGGCATTATTACCCTTTGCCTGCGTCTGGGTAACTAATTCGGACCACGTCTATGGTAAAACATGCCTACTGTCAGCCAACTAACTCTAGTCTCCGCCGCGTCTAATTTGTTTCTATCCCTAATACCAAGTCTGTGACTTGATATGCCTTAGTCTCTCGTGTGCCAACCCACAAATGTTGTGGTACTGCTTGCTTTGATTATGTTTAATGTTGAACCATAACGTTTGTGGGTTAGCACACATGAGATCAGGGCATAGTAAGTCTGGTCAAAGGATCGGCTTCACTTCTC